ATATATATATATATTATTATTAACACACTGGCCGTTTCTCACCAAGGCAGGGTGGCCCGAAAAAGAGAAACTTTCATCATCATTCACTCCATCACTGTCCTGCCAGAGGCATGCTTACACTACAGTTATAAAACTGCAACATTAACACCCCTCCTTTAGAGTGCCGGCACTGTACTTCCCATCTCCAGGAATCAAGTCCGGCTTGCCGGTTTCCCTGAATCCCTTCATAAATGTTACTTTGCTTACACTCCAACAGCACGTCAAGTAGTAAAAAGCATTTGTCTCTATTCGCACCTATCTAACATGCTCAAGCACGCTTGCTGGAAATCCAAGCCCCCTCTCACACAAAACCTCCTTTACCCCCTTCCCTCCAGCCTTTCCTAGACAGGCTCCTACCCCGCCTTCCCTCCACTAGAGATTTATATACTCTCGAAGTCATTGTATTTCGTTCCACTCTCTCTGAATATTTAAACCAACTCAATAACCCTTCCTCAGCCCTCTGGATAATAGTTTTGGTAATCCCACACCTCCTCCTAATCTCCAAAGTACGGATTCTCTGCGTTATATTCACACCACGCATTGCCCTCAGACATGACTCGTTGCAACATTCACAACCCATGCCTCACACCCACACACGAGCGTTGGTATAACTATACTCTCACACATTCCCGTCTTTGCTTTCATGGACAAAGTTTTTGTCTCCACAGACTCCTCAGTGCACCACTCACTTTTTTTCCCCTCGTCAATTCTATGATTTACCTCATCCTTCGTAGACCCATCTGCTGACACATCCACTCCCAAATATCTGAACATATTCACCTCCTCCATACTCTCTCCCTCCAATCTGATATCCAATCTTCCGTTACTTAATTCTTTTGTTATCCTCATCACCTTACTCTTTCCTATATTCACTTTTAACTTCCTTCTTTTACATATCTTACCAAACTCATCAACCAACCTCTGCAACTTCTCTTCAGAATCTCCCAAAAGCACAGTGTCATCAGCAAAGAGCAATTGTGACAACTCCCACTTTGTGTTAGATTCTTTATGTTTTAACCCCACACCTCTTGCCAGCACCAGAGCATTCACTTCTTTTACTACTCCATCTACAAATATATTGAACAACCACGGTAACATCACACATCCCTGTCTAAGGCCTACTTTTACTGGGAAATAATCTCCCTCTCTCCTACATACTCTAACCTGAGCCTCACTATCCTCATAAAAACTTTTCACCTCTTTCTATAACCTACCTCCCATTCCATACATTTGCAGCATCTGCCACATTGACCACTAGAACTTTCAATATAGGGAAAAATTATTAAAAATACTGTTAACAGCAATAATAATGTTACAATGAGGTTTTTCTCCAGCCTCCACCGTGCTGTGGTCAACCATGCTTTTTATCATGTTAGAGGTCCCTCCAGACTCACTGCTCCGTCCCCCACGCTGTTAACCATCTCGTAAATTCCTGTAACCTACCCTCAATGGACCTCTCCCCTCTACTCTACCCATTACCAACTACCATTATTCCCCCACGCCTACCATTACTCCCATTTACCTGCCTCAGATATAGCTAAATCTCACGTATGCTGCCTTTTTTTTCTAGTTACTCCTTTCCTTAAATATCAAGTGAATGTAGAACCTCGTGTTACATTACAAATATTTTTATAATCGCCTCCCCATTAAATCCACTGAGGTCAGGCAGCGCCTGGAGAATAGAGAGCAATCGGGTTTGTTGAGAGGAAGAGGAGGGTAGCTTCTACTCCTTGGATCAAGAGCTATTCACTGGCTTCCACACATTCTCCACGACCACAACAGAGAAGACTCGATAAACGCCTCCTTAAAGTTAACACAAACATTGGGGTTAAGCGGAACTGAATGAGTATATACAGTGAAATACACACCTCTATATACACAATGCTGCTTACAAAAGAATCGTCCTTACTTGCCAATTTAATTCTGATTTTTTTTCTTTCTTTTGTTATGGTTAATCACAGATTCCTAATTCTACTTGCTTGTAGATAAGTTATACATATATTCAACAACTAGGTAACTTTATTTCAAAGCGTTTCGCCCATTCGAAAATAGAGGCTAGTAATATGGAGACAGCATAAGCAATTGATATGCAAAGATGGTGTGATTTGTCCATCTATCTGGAAGTAGTAATGTTCAGGTGATCTGACACTCGGCTTGAAGATGTGTTCATTTTCATTGTCTTTTCTTTTTACTTGTAGCATTGATTTCTCGTGATATTTTCACCATTATTTTCTCTTAATTGCACTCGCCCAAAGAATTAATATATACATATATTTCACTCATTACCATCTTGCATCCTATTCTTGTTAACTTTATCACCCTTTTCTCTTGATTCCAGCACATACACTATCGAATCCTCCCACTGATGATTCTCCCAACTTCTTCCTTACACTGACAGGTCGTCCACACTTGTTATATCGTATCTACTTCCCCTGTCCTACAACGGGGATGTAATTAGTGTACGTGAGAGAGAACCTGTGACCCAGGAGGTCCATTCGAGTACCCTCTTTCTTCACTATCCATTAACCAATTCCCTATCCCCCTCTTCTCGTAATGCTTCTCCACATGCGACGTATTACCAAACCTTTACCCAACTAATATTTCCTACCATTCCAACCCTTCACTAAACCTCACGAGGGCACGTATCTGCATGCGAGACCTTACCGAAAATCTTGCCCACCCATATATCGTATCTCCCCCTCACCAGCAAATTCCCTTCTCCTTGACCCCATCATCAACATTAATGGTACGTTCGAGGGGAGTGACAAACGAAGGAAGTACCTCTCATATTATTATTAACATTACTGGTATTATTATTATTATTATTATTATTATTATTATTATTATTATTATTATTATTATTATTATTATTATTATAATTATTTTAATTGTTATTATTATTATTATAACTATTATTATTATTATTATTATTATTATTATTATTATTATTATTATTATTATTATTATTATCAGCATCTTCATGGGGAAGTGATGATAAAACCATGAAGCTCCTATAATCTCTGGGTAATGGGAGGCATTCAGGTTTTATCCAAGAAAGGAGAGGATAGCTCAAAATTCTTTCATCAAGAATCCTTCACTAATATCAAAGAACACCCTTAAAGAAGCATTTTATTACATTACAATTTCTTCTCAATGACCTGTATTATTTTTATGTATATATCCCAGTGAATAAGACACGTGTACCTGGGCGTTTTCATTTTCAGATGTATCGCCCACACAGCAAGCATTTTTTAATGTTAGGTAGAAAATCATATTTGCAGCGGACTTATATTCTAGTTAAATTGATGGGCATGATCTATTTCCACTAGTGGGCCCCACCCACCTGTGTTAAGATCTTCAACTGCTATACTTCACCACTCCTTCCAATGGCTCGAGTCATCGTTCTCGTACTTACTATATGTAATAAACTGAATAACAAGAAAAATCCAACTGAGCAGGCGAGACGTCTCTCCAATGAAGACACCCAGGTGTTACTCATATGTCTTATTCATCAGCTTGTCAGTAGTGCAATCATTTGATCTAATGACAGTGTATGCATCCGCAGTGTGCGAACGCCCTTTTCTACAAGAGTTACGAAAAAGGCCATTTGTGTATAGACAAGACACTTGTGTAGCGGTCAGTCCTAATGGCTGATGAAGCCACTCGTGGCGAAACGTTTCCTTTAACTGAGGTCCTGATCTGTACACACGTGTCCTTTTCCACAGTTTGTTGGCATCGCCATACCGTTTACAATTAAGAGTTACATTGTTTAAACAGCCGCTAGCTAGGCTTCCCTTTCATATTCCGTCACACAGGATGAGTTTTATACATACAGATTCTAAATCTTTCAGTCTGAAAATAGAGATTTCAGCGATGAAAATGTTATCAAGCATCGCACGTTATTGTACTCGCGGGGAAGAATTAAGCCCTTACGGTCATACAGCCTAGGAGGAATTGGAGACAAGTTTAGTTCAAGGAAGGGGACGATAGGCATAAGATCTTGGATCAAAAGCCCCTCATCGGCATCATAATATGTCACCTGTAGGGTTGAGTTACATTTTCTTGGCAAATATCATGGAAATTGGGATTCATACGGATGTCATAACAGAGAAAGTGAATAAAATGTCAGGAAAAACTAATAGCCTTATTACGGATTTATCATTGCATTCAACAATCCTTTTTTCATCCACTAGTTCCTGTTATTATGGGGAGCGCTAAACCCGTAGGGATTATACAGCTTTTATTGAAAGGGGGGGGGGCTGTAGAAGGATTTCAGGTTTAATCCAGAGAATTGGAGCATAGATCCAATTCCCTAGATCAAGAGTCCCTCACCAGCATCAAGGAACCTTCCTTTAGGACGGGGACAAATTATACAGATTGACAGGCAAGTCTCGAGACATCTAGGTGAGTACAGATAAGAAGTGCGTCTGTCTCGCGCATAGCAGACGGTGGATCGAGTCTCCACTACGTCTTGCACCGGATGACGTACGTGTGTTTAGCGTTTAACATGAATTTGGATAAGTAGAGAAATTCTGGCAGTTTCAGTACTAGTCTTAAACTACAGTACAATGTTATGAAGCGTGATAATATTAAAAGGCAACGTTTTACAGTTTATTACAGTTTGTATCATACCTTATAGTATTTGTCACCATTAAAACTGATGTGGAGTGAAAGTTTGATGAAAAAAAAATAGAAATATGGTGGTAACAGTTGGTATTAGGTATGAGATCTGATATGAAGGGAATACTGATGTGAGGGAAGGGAGGTGATCAGAATCTCTCTTCCCTCACACACTCTTCTCCCACACAATCTTCCTATCTTACCCATCATCGTCAGGATGACGTATAGAAGGGTGTGGAGGGGATGATCAATATCCCCAGTTTCTTCCTCTCACGCACACTCACTATCTTCCCCCAGCTTCGTCAGGTTCACCTTCAGGAGGGTGTGGGGACGATGATCAATATCCCCTCCAGTTTTGTCCTCTCACATACCTTCCCTGTCTTTCCCAGCATCGTCAGGTTCACCTTCAGGAGGGTGTGGAGGCGATGATCAATATACCGAGTTTGTTCCTCTCACATACCTTCCCCGTCTTTCCCCAGCTTCGTCAGGTTCACGTATAGGAGGGTGTGAAGGCGACCACATCAGTATCGAGGAACCCAAGCTACGTGTGCGGGGAGGCAGGTGGTGTGGTGAAGGCTCTGGCTTGAATGTCTACTACAGTGAGACTGACACAGTGGCAGTCACACTTCACGCAGCCTCCACCATCCAGGGAGAATATTTCGACAACCCCCTCAAGTTTAAGATCAAGTAAGTGATTCTCTAGGTAGTTTTGCACTTTATATCCTATATCAACAAAGCCGTAAGTGTCATTCAGACCAAGAGTGGCGTCTTGAATAAGTTAATAAGTTAGTTATAAACCATTTTGAATACCATCTGATTCACAATGTGTTGAGAAAATCCGCAAGTATCCAACTGAATCCAAGTGCATCCAAGAATATAGCTCTTCGCAAAGAATTTTGCTACGTTCTTTGAATGCAACATATAATGCATTTTCATATCTGTATATAAACCCAGTCTGAAGAGGAACTTAGGAAAAATTTCAATATATTTAATAGTTGAAGAATTTTTGTAAATAAACATATCTTGCAAGGGGTTCAAGAAAGAATGTTTTCTATTCAAATTTAGTGTTTGATAAATATAATGAGGACAACAATGTTTGTAATACTCAGTGCTGGAAAAATATACAAACAGGTAGAAATAAGAAGTGAAAAGTAGATACTGAAGATGTAAAGATGTATGTACACAAAGGTAGATAAGTAGTTGCAAATAGAGACAATTAAGGTGTAGTTATTACAGTTCAACTCCTCTCTGTATGTTAATTGGCATCTTGTCGGATGTATCATTCAGGCAACTACAACATAGACAGGCATGACATAAAGGAAACTCTTGCCTATTTATTTGTTAAATGAAAGACTTTCCATGCTTTGTGTCTATTGTACCTCACTGGTAATTTGCTAGTTATTCCAACAATAGCTCATGCATGGACCCTCTGCAATGAGCGTTGTTCTCTTTAAGCCAGTCTGCTCTGTGTTCGGATCCAAATGTCGGGATGCCAAGAATAGTGAGGAATAGGATACGAGCTGCAGTGTACGCTCTCGTTGGATCAACGTTCAGCTGTGTGTAGACCTTTATCAAATCATGATAAGAAAATCTACACATGGGAACGTTGTTTTAATAAAATCTTTTGCATGCAGCTTGTGGGATTTTCCGTATTCCCAAGTAATTCCTGAATTAACAATTGTTAAAAAAATATTCAGTGGTGGAGAGATAAAAAAAGATGATATATAAAATGTTTTGAATATCGAAAATTAAAAAGCATGAAAAAATACGAAAAAAAAAAATCAGTGATGATCGTTTGTGAACAACAGAGATATATGTAAAGCAAAATTAACTATTATTAAGTTAAATAAATAAACGAAATGAATAAAACACTAAATTCACACACACACACACACACACACACACACACACACACACACACACACACACACACACACACACACACACACACACACACACACACAAGAGGTCACAATTGGAAGTTGAAGACTCAGATGAATCAAAGGGATGTTAGGAAGTATTTCTTCAGTCATAGAGTAGTCAGGCCATGGAATAGCCTAGAAAGTGATGTGGTGGAGGCAGGAACCATACATAGTTTTAAGGCGAGGTATGATAGAGCTCATGGGGCAGGGAGAGAGAGGACCTAGTAGCAATCAGCGAAGAGGCGGGGCCAGGAGCTGTGACTCGACCCCTGCAACCACAAATAGGTGAGTACAAATAGGTGAGTACACACACACACAAAGAAAAACAGAACTATAGTTATGCCAACAGAACCTTAGAACACATTCCTTCGTACAGCAACCGAATGTTAGAATCAGATCCTGGGGGAAGAAGACTAAATCATACCCACCTAAACAATGAATTCGTGACGCGAGGAGCATAACTTTCTACAAATATATACCTAGTAACTGTAGTCAGAATGAAGCGTTAAACCCGTATGGGTCATCCGGTGTTTAAGTAATGATAGATAAATTTGCTGAGAGATGCGATGATGATGATTTTTAGTTGATGGAAGAGAGACTGGTCTTGAGATAAATGTATTGAGAAAGAGAAAGCAGGAGGGTGTGATATTATGATTATTTTTATTAATAATCAACTTAAACGTTAAACCCTAAGGGTCATGCAGCGGTGAGGGGAGGTATGTGCGAAAGTGCAAAAATAGCTACTTTATATTTAAGAGAAAGTGCAGAACTGGGGAACGGGAAGTAATCAGGTTCGATTCGGGGAAGGGGGAGGATAGTTCCAGTTCCTTGGATGAAGAACTGTTTTAATTTTTTCTCAGGATTTTAGACACCTCGCATCCTCTCCTCCGTGAAGAACTGGAACTTCTTGTGATACTGGCCTCTCAAACCTACTAACACTTTATTTACCTTGTTTCCCTTATAGATACAAGTTCCTGCGTCGTGAGAGAGCCATCGTGCGCTACGGACGAGGAGGCACGGCTAAGTATCGCGGGGAAATGGTACGGAACAGCGCTTGCAGTCGTGTGTTCCAAGGCTGCAGAGCTCGCCAATGCCGCTTACAGTCCCCAAATTTCCCTGGGCTGTACCCTCGCAACGTCACCTGCTACTACCTGGTGAAGGCACTGCCTGCGCCCTCGCCTGATCTTGTACCTGTGGTCACATTAAGTCAGGATAATGACCGTCTGGTACAGGTGGGTCGTAAAGGCCATGGCGGCCGTGTGTCGCCAGAAGCTCGCCTCCAGCAGGACGACGAGTGTCGGGCGCCAGAGGACTTCCTGTTGGTGTACGACGGCGGGTCGCAGAAGGCGCCACTGCTTGCTAAGATGTGTGGTACAGCCACCATCCCCAACATCACCTCCAGCGGGCCAGAGATGCTTGTGGTGTTACAGACAGCAACGTCAGGTATGATGAACCATCTTGCCAACTTAGTGACTGGCTTTGAACTTGAGGCTCATGTGTTATTCATGAAGCAGAACCCGAACAGTGTAAGCAGCATGCAATGCGGTCAGATCATCAAGAGCTTTGGCGGCAGCAGTGGGGTGGTGGTCAGCCCAATATTCGCTCTTCCTGCCAACGCTACATGTTCCTATGAATTTCAGGGACGGAGAGATGAGGTCGTGTGGCTGTATTTTACCAAATATCATAGGACACGAAAGAAAGAAGTTATGATTAATTACACACCGTGCCGTAACCGCCTTGCTCTCTATGACGGAAAGACGTTCTATAGCCCCGAATCAGAAATTTCAACTCTTATGGGCGAGTATTGTGACGAGCAGCTGCCGCCAATATGTGTTAGATCGCGTCAGAAGGGGACAGTGAGCCAGCCGTGTGCAATCAAGGAGAGTTTCCTCTCCACAGGACCTTCCCTCTTTGTCATGCAAGAGTTCACGGACGGAACCAGCCTCCTTCCACTTAATTATATCATACATTACGAGTTTGTTAGTTTTTTTCAGTCTGGGAAGGAGTCTGGCAGTGATTGTGACAGAGTGTTTAACAGTGCTCAGGACGCCAAGGGACATTTCAGTTCCCCTAGAAACGTTTTTCTATACGGTCGTGGGGGTAAATCTTCTCTCTCCTGTAAATATACATTTCAGACATTAGAAGGAGAGGCGATAAAGCTGAAAATCACGAACGTGGGATTTCGTGGCAATATGTGCAAGACGATTCACAATTTTCAATCGAATCTTTACGAATGCATCGCACGCCTTCCTGGCTCAGCTGTACTGGAGGTGTGGGAGGAGCCTTGGGGCAATACGCGCCTTCCCCTAGGCTGTATGTGTGATGCTGGAATTACTCCATCAGTGTTCATCAGTCACACTCGTCTAGTTCAGCTAAAGTTTGCTATCAAGGAGATGAACTGGAGTCAAGATTTCAATGATTTTTTCTTCGATGCTGAGTACGAGTTCACGAAGACCAGAGAATGCACCGATGAACGGATCTTAAATGGCTCAACGGGATCTATTCTCATACGGAGTGATGGAGAGTTCGCAGAGTGTAATGAATACCCTTGGAAGATCGTGGCCCGGGAACATAGCCACCTGTACCTGAACATCCCCGGTTATCACGCCTCCAGCCAACGCTGTTCCACGGAGAACAGAGTAGTGGTGTACGGCAGTCACACAGCCCGGCCTCTCAAAGCCGTATGCCCAGAAACCGGCGGAACGGATAGCGTGGATATATTCTCCTCTGGCTGGAACACGGCGTTGGATTTATCTGAACCTCGCCCTGACAGCCTTATTATCCGCTATCTAGCCAGGGAACCCTCGACGTATAGACTTACCTGGCTGGAAGTGCGTCGGGAGCCCCGCCCCTCTGCTCTCGAGTCCCTCAAGGGAGCGGGCGGCCGTGGGCACAGCACGGGCGCCTCGTGCCCTCATCAATGCCCTGAGCTCGACGCCTGCATCAGCCCCGAGCTTTGGTGTGACGGGGTGAAGCACTGCCCGTCCGGTGCGGACGAGCTGCGCACTACCTGCCTCTACTTCACCGTCCCCTGGCTGTACCTTGTGCTCGGGGTGGTTGCCATACTCGTCTGCTTGCTGGTGTTTGCCTCCGCCCTTGTCGCCGTCAGGATCTACCAACGAGGCAAAGTCAAGAGGAAGAAGAAGAAAGAGGCCCAGAGATTGATGACTCGGGAAGTCATTCTTCCACTAAACTTCCAGAAGGAAAACATTTACTGAGGTAGTCGGGAAGAGTCAATGACACAAACAGGAAATTACCTCCTCTGCTCCCAGACTCCTCTCCTTCTTCATTTACTACAACTGGCCTCCTTGTCATGGCTAATTTTTATATCCAATTTTGTATAACTTGTTTCCATGAAGTTCGATGATGTTCTTACACTTTGTAAATACTTATATATATTTTATGGTTTTATTTACAGGCAACAGTAGAAAGATTTTCTAGATAGATGAACACTTTGTACACCCCTGAGGATTTTCCCTAGTCGTTGTGAGAGTAGTGGTGATATTTCTGCCTAATATCAGTCGCCATGCCTTACATACAGAGGAAAGAGTGAGATACCCCGACTCTCTTAAGTTTCGGATCCCCTGTCATACATATAGGTAAATAGGCCTCCCTCTTCCAACAGATTTAACATATGGTCTTAAACATTTGAGATAACTACTCAATGCTAGGAATCAGGATCTTAAGTGCACGTTCCATCACTTTCTTGGGACATGCTTTGGTTAGTACACTTTTTCCCCTTACCTTCATCTCTTTCCCTACTGATCTACAGATGACAAGTTCCACAGACTCTACAAACCTCCTTATCATCACTCTTTGTAATCTTTTTAAAGGAGATTAATGGGTTAAGGTGATTAAGAGAAAACTAAATCTCAACTCTTTACATCTGTCTCCAAAATACTACACATAACATTGAAGGTCACAGACTGATGGGCAAAATTACCTTTCTGGAAAAATAGTCTGTGGGTCAAAGATGGTTATTGTTGGCCTTGGTTATCTGTGGCCATTGTTACCAGTTCTAAAAATACAGTTCAAGTATCAACTTTTTTTATACTACTGAGTCTAATCATACAGGTCAGTCCTACAATCCTACAATTAAGTTGTCATTTATTAATGCAAGATATAAATTTTCTTATAGATTTGCCAAACTATTGGTTCTTGCAGCTATAAATCATAATATTTATTTATCACTAAGAACCACTGAACATCAGCTAAAAAAGTACCATTCTTGAATGCTTTTCTCATGATTATTTTTTTATATTCATGGGAACGAAAAACTCGTAAGGAAATGGGAGGCAATCAGATTCGATCTAAGGAAAGGGAGGGTAGCTCTAAATCGATGAATCGAGAGCACTTCATTAGCATCTCGTGAGGGATTACCAGTCTCAGAAACCTCAACTAGTCAAAAAAAAAATATAAAAAAAAAAAGAACAGGGCTCCAAGCACAACACACAGACTTGGTAATCCTACACAAAACGTTCAGAATAATACAAAGGCAAATCAAAGCAAGAAGACTTCACAAAAGGCCTGGCTTGCTCTAAATGTCTTTGAATTACACATATTTGTTGGCACTCAGCCTTTCAACTAGAGAAACTCTTCACCCACAGCCTTAGCTTTCCTCAGTCCTCACCGACCCTACCCTTCTAATCTGACTTTTCAGTTCCACTTTTCCCCCCGCGACGACTGAGCTAGGTACGGGGCGCAGCAAGAAGTCAGGTCCACAAACTAGAAAACTCAACTGACCTGGTTCTTGTAGGTAGGGTGGGGAGGAGGGGTGACTGTGATAAACCATCCCCGGGTCATTGTAAAAGAATCACTTGTTTATTAAGACCAGGGAAGACTTTCTACACTGATGCTTTGTGAGATTCTCGCTTGTGTTGTTAGAATGCAGAGACCGTTTTGGAAACATTGACCAGAGGCAGCTGGCAGAAATATAGCAAGGTAAATAAACACTGCTATCAGCAACGTTTCGCTCTGAATAGAGCTTTTTTAAGTTGAGATGACTTAAAAAAATCTACCCAGAGGGAACATGTGATATTTTTTGTAAAGCAGGTGTCTCTCGTTACCCCAGGTGTTTATCTCTTTACACCAGGCGTGTGTCTCGTTACACCAGGTGTGTATCTCGTTACACCAAGTGTGTATCTCGCTATAGCAGATGTGTATCTCGTTACACCAGGTGTGTATCTCGTTACGCCAGGTGTGTATCTCGTTACACCAGGTGCGTGTCTCGTTACACCAGGTGTGTATCTCGTTACTCCAGGTGTGTATCTCGTTACACCAGGTGTGTATCTCGTTACACCAGATGCGTGTCTCGTTACACCAGGTGCGTGTCTCGTTACACCAGGTGTGTATCTCGTTACACCAGGTGTGTATCTCGTTACACAAGGTGTGTATCTCGTTACGCCAGGTGTGTATCTCGTTACACCAGGTGTATCTCGTTACACCAGGTGTGTATCTCGTTACACCAGGTGCGTGTCTCGTTACACCAGGTGCGTGTCTCGTTACACCAGGTGTGTATCTCGTTACACCAGGTGTGTATCTCGTTACGCCAGGTGTGTATCTCGTTACACCAGGTGTATCTCGTTACACCAGGTGCTACACCAAATTTATCACATTAAAAATTTTATCACAGTTTGTACATTCATGCCTTTCAAGTGAGGTGATTTAATGCTGGTACCAGTTAGGGCTCTTAATACAAGGAGCTGAAGCAGTGTGCTGCTGCCTTATTTGTTACGACAGTTAAACAGAGGGAACAAGAGCTATGTTTTGCCCTGTCACCCTCAAGGAGGACGGGGCTCATACAAGGTGCTGAAATCTGTCTTGCATGAGCTGGGAGATTATTGTTCCATTCTTTGGAGGACCAGGTTCATACAAGGTGCTGAAATCTGTCTTGCATGAGCTGGGAGATTATTGTTCCATTCTTTGGAGGACCAGGTTCATACAAGGTGCTGAAATCTGTCTTGCATGAGCTGGGAGATTATTGTTCCATTCTATGGAGGACCAGGTTCATACAAGGTGCTGAAATCTGTCTTGTATGAGCTGGGAGATTATTGCCCCATTCCATGGAGGACCAGGTTCATACAAGGTGCTGAAATCTGTCTTGTATGAGCTGGGAGATTATTGCCCCATTCCATGGAGGACCAGGTTCATACAAGGTGCTGAAATCTGTCTTGTATGAGCTGGGAGATTATTGCCCCATTCCATGGAGGACCAGGTTCATACAAGGTGCTGAAATCTGTCTTGTATGAGCTGGGAGATTATTGCCCATTCCATGGAGGACCAGGTTCATACAAGGTGCTGAAATCTGTCTTGTATGAGCTGGGAGATTATTGCCCCATTCCCTGCAGATCCCACCTAGGAAAAATTGTCAAATACCACTGTCGGATTCAAAGCAGATTCTTGCATTTTAACAACACATACCAGAGAGTGCTTTAAAAAACACTATCAACACAAAGCACCAGGGAAAAAATTGTGTTCCCATCTAGGGTAGTATGTGGCTTTTACGGAGAAGAGAAATTGTGAAATTTTAATCATTATTGTGATAAAAAAAATGGTTTAAACTAAAAAAAAAAATTATGCGTATTTATACATATCGAAAAACTGTTTAATGTTTTGGTAGTAGTATGGTGTTTATACAGTGTGGAACTCTGCCAAGGTAGATTATATAATGTGTGGGATGAGAACCGCCGTGTATGTATTTTTAAGGTGAACCATTGAAAGATATTTGCCTACAGCAGCTGCTGCTTACTTAATTTGCTGTTTTTGAATCTATAAAAAGTGATGTTATTATATTACCAAGGTGGTGTTATCACACTGTCAGGGTGGTGTTATCACTCTGTCATGGTGGTGTTATTACATTACCAAGGTGGTGTTATCACACTGTCAGGGTGGTGTTATCACTCTTTCATGGTGTGTTATTACATTAAGTGGTGTTTATTCAACTTCAGGTGGTGTTATTACTACTTACAAGGTGGTGTTATCACACTGCCATGGTGGTGTCATCACACTACCATGGTGGTGTCATCACACTACCATAGTGGTGTTATCACACTATTATGGTTGTGTCATCACACTACCATGATGGTGTCATCACACTACCGTGGTAGTGTCATCACACTACCATGATGGTGTCATCACACTACCATGGTTGTGTCATCACACTACCATGGTTGTGTCATCACACTACCATGGTAGTGTCATCACACTACCATGGTAGTGTCATCACACTACTATGATAGTGTCATCACACTACCATGATGGTGTCATCACACTACCATGGTTGTGTCATCACACTACCATGATGGTGTCATCACACTACCATGGTGTGTCATCACACTACCATGGTAGTGTCATCACACTCCCTATGATAGTGTCATCACACTACCATGGTGGTGTCATCACACTACCATGGTGTGTCATCACATTACTATGATGGTGTCATCACATTACTATGGTGGTGTCATCACACTACCATGGTAGTGTTATCCATCTATCACGACGGTGGCTAGCAGCAACATTTATAATGCATAGAGACAAGTTACAGAACAAGCATTTATTTAGGCCAACATTTCGCTCTGGGTATAGTTTTATCTAGCAATGACTTGTTAAAGCTCTATACAGAGAAAATATTGTGTTCTACAACTTATGTCTTATGTACTGTTGTTGATAGTAATTTGAATGCATTAAACATAATAATAATAATAATAATAATAATAATAATAATAATAAATAATAATAATAATAATAATAATAATTAAATAATAATAACACATATTTACAATATAGTCACTTGATGCAGACATTTAATTTACAAAATTTAAATCCTCTCAACCACAGGAAGGGCATTAAGGCTGCGTGTCACCTGTATACCACCAAGAGAGTATACTTTCATCCCTCAGACAAGGACTAAAGTAAACTCTAAGTACATATAGACTGAGATGTACACCCTCCATGTGTACACACACTGTTGCTCTCAGTGCACGTACGTCATGAGTGATGTATTCATTAGAATATGTACGAAAGAGTGATGCCTCTGTATTGATCTGTTTCACAATACGGATGACAGATTCAGCTCTGAATATTAGCTTCCTCGGCAATATCTTTCACTGGAGACCCGTGTGTCCTGTACAGGGGAATACGAAAGGTTATTTATGGAAATGTAGCGACCCTAACACGTGTTCTAAATGTTACTGTATTTTTGTACCGTAATTTTGTAGAACGAGTATTTTTGCAATAAAATGGTGATGCCAAAACTGTCCTTGTTTTATTGGAATCCTTAACATAACCTCTGAGGTTTGGGTGACCAGGTACTCACCAGAGATGCTGGGTGACCAGGAACCTCACCAGAGTTTGGATGACGAGGTACTCACCAGAGTTGCTGGGAGACCAGGTACTCACCAATTTTTTTTTTGTGCCAGTAAGACTGTCGTAACCATTCACCATAGACAATAATAAAGAAAATGCCATAGTTATTTTTGTATGTGTGAGAAATGACAAAATATTTGAAAAGGATTAACCAGAAAGGATAGTCAAGGATAATAAGTCTCAAATTGATATCTAAAAAAAATCGTAACAGTCACATTGAAATAGAAATCAAAATGACATTTCAGGAATTCTTAAACCATTATCAAGACTCCAGTTGGTAAATATCCAAAACGGAGCGATACGTCGTGTGCAGATTTCATCTTCATTTTATAGGTTAGCTGTTAAGGGAAATTATCTCCACATGAGACAAAGAGGATGAGCAAGCCTACATTGACGTCAAAATTGGTGATTAAAACCGACAGAAATTCGAGAAAGATATGCAAGTGAGTATTATGAACCTGAAGATACATTTCGCCTATCAGAGGCATTTTTAGAGGACTGAGGAAGCCCGTGTAGGTCAAAACGTATGTCAGTAAATGTCATAATGCTCGCTTAAGCGTCTTTCTCGCATATAGCCTGGCCTTTTTTTTCTTTCATATTGACGTCTCTAACAATTTCAATTTTAAATAATTTAAAACTGTTTTTAAATGTTATAATCAGTATCAAGGAACATGATCCGCTTAATCTAACTCGCATTTCAGAGAGGATATTTTAAACTCTTCGATTCGTTTTGGTTCATTAAGGAATCGGGAATTAACAGGAACGGAACGAAACATCACTTAAAGTTTTCTCTTCAAACTGTTTGGTAAGGTACGTGTTCCAGCCATGGTTTAATGCCTTAGTAGACTAATTGTAAATTGTTCCAGCCATGGTTTAATACCTTAGTAGACTAATTGTAAATTGTTCCAGCCATGGTTTAATGTCTTAGTAGATTAATTGTAAATTGTTCCAGCCATGGTACTGTGACTTTGTGGGCTACTTGTGAATTGTTCCTGCTACAGCAGTGCGATATTCCCATTGAAATAACCATTAACTTTGCCATTGTTTCTTTCAGTGTAATTTAGTTTTGCATTGTTGTTCACTAATTAACGCTCCCATTAACTACGCATTAATTGGAAAGCAATCGGATCAAGTGAATGGACGTGGTTTCAAGCAATTAGGACCAAAATTAATCATTATTAAGGAAGGTTATTTAGGGAGAGTATCAATTATTAATCAAGAACAAGAGCAACTTAGCAATTGTTCTCTCATTACTCTCAACTTAATGATTAACCAAGCAGTCTTTGTTATTAAACTGATCACTGTTAATATGTTATTTAGAGGAGAAGTCATTGTGGGTACATAAGAAACACTGGCAAGAAAGAAGAGATGAGAGATATGTTAGAGATAATAGTTGATGTAGAGGGTAGATAGGATAGATAGGTAGAATAAGAAGTAGATGAGGAAGAAGAGAGAGAGAGATGGAGAGAGAGAAGAGAGAGAAGAGAAGATAGAGAGACGAGAGATGAGAGAGATAAGAGAGAGAGGACAGAGAGAGAAGAGAGAGAGAGAGAGAGAGAGAGAGAGAGAGAGAGATAGAGAGAGAGGAGAGAGAGAGAGAGAGAGAGAGAGAGAGAGAGAGAGAGAGAGAGAGAGAGAGAGAGAGAGAGAGAGAGAGAGGAATAAAAGTGTGGCATGATACAAGTATGTCACATTTTTATTCGGGTACATAAGCTACCTCCCGACCAGCTAAACAGGTGCTAAGGATTTAACGATGAATATTGACCCCCGTCGTTATATCAGTACCTCGGTTCATTTACCAATCACAGACAAGCTCGCCAGAGCTGTGAAGCAAAGTGGTTCACTTGTGACACAGGTTCGGCAGACTTATTTAGGTTGCTGGTTGATCACGGTGTTTTACCTGGCGAATTGCTTTTTGCCTCCTTTGTACATGTTGTAAATAGTGTACATATTGAAAATATCAGCTTGATTCTTTGAAGGAAATACAAGTCATATAACTTCTGTTGTCTTGCTCTACGATTTATCAAATTAAGACAAAGTGTACAGGCCATTATACACCTATGTACATAATAAAAGGTAAGTGGAAGTAATGTAAAAACACATTGTCTTTATCAGACACATTTCAATAAAATGCCTTAACTTCTGCTTAGAATAAAAGTTAATCTAAAGATTTACCTTGTACAGGGTTTTTGTGGCATCGGTATATCGTGTCACCAACACCATGAAAAGTGAAAAAAAAAAATGAGTATAAATTTGAAAACAAACTTTAATAATGAAAGGTAAGACAAAAATACACACACACACACACACACACACACACACACACACACACACCACACACACACACACACACACACCAACACACACAACACCACACACACACACACACCACACATCACACACATACACACACACACACAACAACACACATATAATAATCATATATATATATATATATATATATATAAACTACTATATATATATATATATATATATACATATATATTTATATATTTATTTGATCCTAACCTAACTAAATATAGTTTAGATTTGTTTACAATAATTTAATACTAAACAAACACAGTGAAATATAATTTTTTCGTTAGGTTCAGAATAATTTTGGCGAAATTATTGCGTACACTTGTCCTATATGGCAAGATGAGCGTTGCTATTTAAGCCAAGATCGCAAGTTCTGCCTATTCGGCACGATATATATATATATATATATATATATATATTATATATATATATATATATATATATATATATATATATATATATATATATAATATATATATATATATATATATATATATATATATATATTATATATATATATATATATATATATATATTAAATTATATATATATATATTATATATATGTTATGACGCGAAGAACCAAAATATTCATATAATGAAAAAACTGCTGTTCTACAGCTGTAATATTTTCGCGTTAGTCGCAAAAATAAAACCATAAAAAGAAATTGCCAAATTTAATTGAAACAGAGTGAGAGATACACACAAAAAATCTCCTGACCCGAGAACCACTTTAAAGCTTAATCCATTTTGTAAATCAATCGTTCAATCTGACTGTGCTGTGATTGGTTTTGCATGCTAACCAAACACACACATATGGAAATGGATATACACAATACCTGACCGCAGTCCTGTCAGCACTGAAAGTGCGGCTCGTCAGTATTAAACTATTCCTTTGTCAACTGTTAGGGAAGAAACTGTAAGCCAGCGAGACTATTCACCGGGGAAGTATCCGTCTGTGAACTATCTGCGTGTGAACTATTCACCTGTGATCTAATCCAGTTTCAACTAACTGTTTGTAGTCCCATGAAGCAAATTCTACTACTGACTTCAATTCTTTGTACATAAAACATGTCAAATATGAGTATCCTTTAAGAGTTTCAAATATGCAAATATCCACTTCTTACAGCTTGTGTATCATAACCTCAAAATTCTGAAGTCAAATATCAGCGTATCCCCAACTCATCGGGAAAATACTGAGT